TGTTTTCCACTGGCTTCTTAAAGTGGTGTGTGTTTAAGTGGAGGGAGATGCTGCAACCCTTCCCGCACAGCGAAATCTGCAACCTCTCCGATCGCAGGAATTCTTTTCCTGCACCTCCACAAACAACCACACTTTGCTTGCAACTTTCCTTTATTCTGTGCAAGAAGGGGGGTAGTAAGCATCCTCCCCCTTTCTTGGGGGACGAGCTCACCAACAGGCGCACTATCCTCTTTCCTCAAGTCGAGAGTTGGTGGATGTCGCTGGTTTGATGGTTTGTGACTCTTGTTCAGCACGTACATTCATGCCATCATACCCGAAACTCGGAGGTTGAGTACTCTATCGAGCCCTCGTTTGCTATGCTTGCTCCAGAAGTCCCATAGCTGTGTGAGCCTCATTGCAGTCCATCAAGTAGCTCTTCACGTCCCCTTGCTGCAGCATCTTCTGAACACCTCATCAAATTGATTAAGTGAGAACCCGCACTAGCTTTATTGGCTTCTCAGAATCTTCCTGAGGCTTCTCGATCAAATACCAATACCATAGTCCTATCTCCAGGTAGCATTATGTTCAAGGTTAGGTATGCTTTCTGATGCTCCAGGCAAAATCACGTACTTCTTGCAAGACAAGCTTCGCGTGGAGAAGACTTGCAGTGCCAACAATGACAAGGCCACACACCTGGACTGAATCTCTACCAGCGTAATGCAGGAGCGGAGTGAGATGTTGCACCTGGGAAAAACACTCATTCACTCATTGCAATTCAGGCACTGTCGACCTTAGAGCATGGCGTCCACATGTCTCTCCAAGAGCTTTCTGTCAAGCTATGGGAATCAAGACAATTCACTCCTGCTTCTTGCAGTTCAAGCAGCCAACAACCATTGCTGTGTAGCTGAAAATGAAAAGAGGCTCTCCCAAGGACTCCTATCACGCTGGCGAAACCACACCTCCACAATCCTGCATGATGGTTTTCTATCTTTTCTTACACAAGAATCACACGAAGTCATCAGAGGTACCAGAAATATTATGCAGGGGCTGGTTCCCATTCTCGGTGCAAAACTCTCAGGTTAAACAGTTTTCAAGTTTGAACTCGGCGCAAAAGCATCCCAGTCCCATTCGAAGAACTTGCCATCATCTGCACACAAAGACACACAATCTCAAGGCACTCGGATTGTCAGCTAGTCAGCCGAGTACGAAAACACAGTCCCACAATGGTCTGAGTCTGTGAGAAACACCACACCAAGTGTCGTTCCTGCCTGGAACCTTCGTGTAGGAGGCCCGCGCCTGCGGTCCCTGCGGTCCTGAGGCATGGCCCGACCGCAGTGTTAAGCAGGAAATCTTGTTACTAGTAGTAATGCACTTGTTACTAGTAGCTTCTTGTTACTACTAGTAAGGCACTTGTTACTAGTAGCGATGCACTTGTTACTAGTAGCTTCTTGCTACTAGTAGTAATGCACTTAGCTACGTTCGTAGCGTCCTTGCTACTATATAGTAGCGATGCACCTTGTTACTAGTAGTTTCTTGTTACTAGTAGAAATGCCCTTGTTACTAGGAGAGAGGAGCTACTACTAGTAATGCCCTTTGCTACTAGTAGTTTCTTGTTCCTAGTAGTAATGCACCTGATATTGAAAAAGCTGTTCCAGCCTCTTTAATCAGGCGCCTTTACAGGGTGCCTTATTGAAGGGCCCAAATGCGCCTTCTTTTCTCTTCATCTCTGTTTATCTCTGGTTTAACATAGGGGTTGGAATTAAGTGGGTACCTCGGGGGTAGCGATTTTATAGTGCTAAAATGCTGGGACCAACCCCCCCTCCAATGAGGGTCACTTTTTGACCCTATAAATTGAGGATAACATAGGAAAAGAGTTCAAAAACAAAGATTCAGCTCTATAGAATTGAGGGCCATCAGTCTGTCAAAAGCTGTAGAAAGTTGTGAATATTGATGGTTTTTGTCTATAAAAATGCAGGTCCCAAGGTACTCCTGAACAGGTGTGCTTGAGTTGTAGTAAGAACCTGGTTCTTTATAGAATCAAGGTACATGGGTCTCAAAAAAAATATAGTAAGAACCTGGTTCTCTATAGAATCAAGGTACAGGGGTCTCAAAAAAACATTAAAATGCAACTTTCTTGGAAGGCATTGATTTGCCAGTTGGTAGGATGCATTAGGATTTTCCAAAGTGTTTCATATAAAGCGTTCACTTGCTAGGATGCTCCAAATTTGCTAGCGTCATCCTGACTCATCCAAGATCCTCCAAGAACCCATTCCCCAGGGTTCGTTTGAGCAATCCCAATTGCGTACTCTCGGAATCAGGCGAGTTTTGAACTGGATGCATTGAAAAAAACATCAGTCTCTATAGAATTGCAGTTCCTAACATGCAAAACCATGCTAATAATTCTCTATAGAATCAGTATGCCTGAGACATCCAGAATCCCTTCGCTATACTTATAAGCCTCTATAGAATCAAACTTGTAAAAAACAACAATTCTCTATAAAATCGAGGATCTTGAAGGACAGGACTTTACAACCTCCATATGAGCCAAGAAAAAGTGGCTAAAAAAATCGTCTTATCGGGGTCCCAACCCCCGCGATTCTGTAGAAGAAATTCCATCCCCTATGGTTTAACTAATGTTTGATCTCCAAAATCTGTGGCTAGTCGCGGAAAGCCTGCCAGTGGAGTGAGATTTCAGATCCCTACAATCCCGGAACACTCATCCATGACTGTCCCAAACCGGTCTAAAGCCATGCTGCTTGGGATGAAAAGGTTCTATTGATATCTATTGATTATGTTCTAGATTTCCCCCTGTCGGCCTGCAGACGGATTCAGCAAGTCCATTGCAATTACGACAAGTAGCAGTGAGGTAGGAGAATAACATTCAAAGGGCTGCTTAGCTCGCTGTGTTACCACATCTTAAAGGACAAAACAAAGTCTAAGAAAGTCAGCAGTCAGCACCCTCTGGAACAAATGGATCAAGTAAATTTCCAGAAAGGTCCTACTAAGTTATACTAAGTTGTTTCGTGCTGTATATAGATATATAAATTTGTTGTGCCAGTGGACATTGTACTAATCTAATCAAGTGTTCAAGAAGATTTCGTGCTACACTATGTTGACGTTGATGCGGAAGACTTCACATGCCATGCGATTGTCGCTGCTAAATGGGTGCCTTGTTTTTGAACTTTGAGGATCCACTCATTCGGTACAAGCAAGTTCATGATTCCGCAACTTCAGCATGTAGTATAGTATAGTTCTCTACAGAGTTAGAGAGTTGAATTCAACTTTCAATGGATGGCATAGAAGAACACAAGCACCAAAGATCTCCTCTCTTCCTACAACTCAGGCAATCAGCGATTCATCCTGAAGGGAGGCTGCTTTGGCCCACCCTTCGAGGAAACAGCAAGCCTTGAGGCTGAGAAGCTGAGAAGCCTAGAATGTTCAGGACGCACCTGCATCTTTCAATCGACTCGGTGATCAAAAGTGTACAGCAAATAATGCATGTCTTGGCTTCGGTGCCAACCGACTCTGCTCAGAAGTTCGCAGTGGATTCTCCACCGACTTATCCAGTCATCCGCAGCAGTTCTCCAAGAATCCCAGCAGCCCACGATGCCATCCACGGCTCAGCTCCTCAGTCAGTCTTTTTGACAATGCAAAGACTCAGTTCATCCAAACACAAGAACACTTTTTTGTTAAAGCCCACTCCTACTTAATTAAGTAGGGGAGTAAACACGCTACTAGCAATAGGAAGCTCCTGGCTAGGATGCAGCATAGCTTCTTCAAGGAAGCTCCCCCCCCCCCTGAGGGCGGGGGGAGCTTCCTTGAAGAAGCGCTCGCACTAATGATTTGGTTCCTAGTAGCGTTTTTGTTACTACTAGTAAGGCACTTGTTACTAGAAGCGATGCACTTGTTACTAGTAGCTACTTGCTCTTTACAGTACTTAAAGAAAATGATGGAATGTGGTTGGAATCTGAACTGATCCTTTGTTGGGCTATTTGGCTGTGCTTTCTGATTAGACTAGAGGAATAATGATACAACGCGAGAATCAACATACTATGTACACCAGCAATCTTTTTCCCGCGGAATATTGTTCAACAAGACTCCATCTGAAGGATCGTCCTCCGGCCAGACACGACTGGCGAGATCCAATGTTCACATCGGTCACCGTAGAAGAAGACAGCGTCCCCTGGCACTCACGTGGTCAAGCCCAAACCCCACGCGGCATCGAACGGCTTAAGACGGATAGCTGCCATGTCAAGGACATTCAAGAAACAAGGATTAAAAAGGAACAATAACTCAGTAGAAGCAGGTAATTATGTTACGCTCGGCAAAATACCCCGCCTCGCTTGAGTTTGGCACTCCGGCTCTCCTGAAAGCAATTCCCCACGAATTCAAGGATGAGTCATCAGGTTTTTGCACAACACCGCTGGAATCTACTATATAACAGGAATCGGTCACATACATGAAAGTAGTATCTTACATAGCATCTCTAATGTTGCATAGGATGGCCAGCAGAATGACATGTGGCCTTGATGCCTTTTAATGCGTTTTAAATCTTTTTAAAACCAACCCTGGACATCGCACCGTGCATCTCCGGACAGCTTGTTGCCAAGAAACACCGCGTTCAGTACCAGGTTCAAAGTAATTGAGTCCACCCTGGAATTCGCTTTCGTGGGACAACATCACCACGACAGTCACCTGCGAGTTGATTCTAGAGGAGCCAAGCACGAGGTTGGCATAATCTAGTGCACTCACTGCTACTTCTGATTCCAAGTGAATTTGAAATCAGGCATCAAATGCTGCGAAAGTCTCCGGACTGGCAGCCAGCGGCCTGTGACTGGTTGTCTGTGTGTGGTTCAATCCTGCCAGGTTCCCCCAGTCGAGACACATCATACACAATGTACCTTGGAGCGAAGCCGGTCCCACGGACTTACACAGCCAACAACACTATTTCTTCCGCGCACGATTCGTTGGTATTATATAGGGCCAAGATGGGCCAAGTAGTTCAAGGCTCTTGCGCAGAGTCAGTTGCAAAGCATACACAACCAAGTGCGAATACAGGGCTCGATCTCCGGAAAGAAGCGATCGCCAATGTCAATCTCATTCCAAAGCTCTGCATCAAGGGCCCTGGAGAAAACACTGGAAACCACCATCGGTGCAATGTCCAACCGTCTCCAATATACTATGCCGATGTATACTTGAGCCTCTATCACTTGACAAAGCCATCGTACTTTCCCAGATATCAGGAAGCAACAAAGTCTCAAAGTTTTCAATACTATGATAGGAAACCACAATTTAATGATGTTTAATGCAAGCCGCCCAAATGAGTATGAAAACGGGGCCTAAGCAAAACAGCTCGAAAAAGCATCACAACACCTCTAGAAAAGTCTTCTCCGTAGGTCCCCGAGCCTGCAATGGTCCATAAGCCTATCATAAATATGAGGAAGTGCCTCCTGCAAGCTCGGCAGCCAAGCGCCAAGCGCTTCGCAAGCATGACAAAGCTGGTTGGTCAACAAAAATTGTTTGGCACGTGCAGGGCTTTGCGAACTTTGGTTTTCTGTCCCTTAAGTTGATGTTCTACAGTGATTCTACAGGCTCCTTCAGTTCGCTTTCCATCCTCCAAACTTCATGTCGGTAAACCAGCTCATCATCACGATCATCAATTTCCTCTCAAGTGCTTTATCGTAGCAAATGAGGGGACATCAAACACGGCAACCTGCAGTCATCGAAAGCAGTGCAGCTCTTATATGATGAAAAAAAGCTTTTATAGCAATCTCATGCAATCTCCATCAATCTCCTTTCTTGACATGTCACTGTGGAAGGACAGCACGACAGGCATCTTGCCCGCCAGCCTTCAAACAAAAGTGCTGCTTCATCTGGGCCACATCCTCCACCTCAGGTCAGGTCACGAAAACGTTCACCTTCAATCGTCCTTTCCTTCGAACTCCAAGCCGTTTGGAGTCATTTGTTCTATCCGCTACAGTATGCATTCAGAAAGTGGTTCACCATGGTTCACCACTCATGGGGCCTGGCCTCTTTAGCAGACAGAAAACCACGCACCACAGCAATCTGGAGCTCCTCGACACCGAGCACTTCCGAAGGATCCGAAGGGAAGAGTCAAACGGATCCGAGCCAGGACAGGAGCCATTCCGAGCCATTCGGAGATCCACGTGAGGAGATTTCTCTGACCCCAACGAAACACATATATATATATATATCATATATATCATATTAATATCCCGCATAGTCTGTGGAGTTCGGTCCACAAAGCCTGAAACTTGCACGTGCAACAGTGTCTTTAATGCAGCATGGCTGGACTGCTGTTCTTGGCCACGCCATTACGCAATGCTACGCATGACCATGCATGGTCATTCATGATCAGCATTAGATCAGTAACTGTAATGGACATCAACTGTGACAACACTCCCGGCATTCGCATTGAGCTCGATTGGTCCTCCTCATCGGCGTGCAATAGTTCGAAGGGTGGCGTGGCTGGAGCTTCTTCGAAAAACTCCACAACCTCGCCTGGGCATATCCAGATTGTACTTTGAGCACAAGAATGCTACTAGTAGCTCCTGGCATCGCTACTAGGAACCCGGGCATCGCTACTGGGAGCAAGGACGCTACTAGTAGCTATTTGCTTCTAGTAGTGCTTTGGAGAGCACAAGAATTCGCATATTGCAAACGCACAAACCTGAAAACGACACTCCGAAGGGGCCACGTGACCACTCTCGCCATCACCGGACAGTGCAAGCCAAGGCCATGATCACACCATAGTCAGCAATCGCAACAGGAGACCGCAAAGAAATTATGTCTCAATGATTTTTCTTAACACAGTGTGTAATTTCTGGAGAAAGAGAGGTTCCGTGCAAGAAGGGGATCAGCAAGGAGGTTGAAGCAAGTTGCCAAACCATGTGAAACACTAAGACTAAGCATAACTCCACTTGATTCGGTCTGTTGGCAGCGCTTCTTTGAGCCCTGTGCCACATGGGCACTGTGGGTCCTATCGGTGCAACAGTTCGAAGGTCCAAAGGAACTGATGCTTAACGGTCACTGAAACATCTTGTTACTAGTAGCTTCTTGCCCCTAGTAGTAAGGCCAGGAGCCCCT